GATGTGTGAAATACCATTAGTATCCTGGCATTATGATTTTTAGGGGAAAAAAAAAAAACATTGATGACATTGTTGTAGTTTTTTGGTTTTTCAAGGATAGGAGCTCATATGGTACATTTAGTCCCTTTGAAAAGTCAAATGGGTTTTTTTCCTAAGAATTGAGTATTGTAGGTATATATTTTGGGCCCTATTTATGGAGTTAAGATATTTTGTCCCAATTTTCTTTGTTCCCCCTCTGGTCCCTATTTGGAATTTTGACATATGTCCTTTCATTTAACACCACATTTCCAGCCTTAACAGTGTGAACCTTCCCAACAACCAAGAAAATCCGTTATCTTCAAATAAAAAATAAAATAAAAAACCTTGACTGCAAACTCTCATCTACCACATCGCTTCAATTTCATCACTTCTTGTTTTCATCTTCACTGCTATTCTTCCAAGAGTTATGTTTTCAAAATTTAGTGGACAATGTGAATCCATAGCGATTTAATTTTTTTTAACCCAAGACTCGCTCATTATTAGGCCAACCCAACCCAACCCAACCCAACTCTCTAACACTAGAGTGTATAACGAATTTAGGATAAAGTAATCTTCCAAGAGATTCTTACCTCGAGAGTGCCTACGTCTATTCACGTTCAAGCAACGGCCTTGTTGTCAACCATAGTGGTGTTGGCTTGATTGATCAGAATTTGGGATAAAGTAATCTTCCAAGAGATTCTTACCTCGAGAGTGCCTACGTCTATTCACGTTCGAGCAACGGCCTTGTTGTGAACCATAGTGGTGTTGGCTTGATTGATCAAGCATACCCACCGTTAAAACAACTTGATCATCTTCTGCTTCCTACTCCCTTTCTTCTTCAGTACGTTTGCACATTCTTTCTTCATTTTCTCACTCAGCCCACTCCAACAATCTCCTCGTGTAAGATATTGAAAGAAGAATGTGTTTTGTAAAATTTGATAAATGAAAGGATAGAGAGGATATCTATGATTGGTGTGACTTTAGGGTGTGGTTTTATAATAGGATTTAGAAGACAGAGATGACACGTGGCACAATAGTAGCAACCGAAATTCTTATCCGAAATATGAGATGTGAATTTTATAATAAATATGGACACGTGGCCATCGGAAATCTTATCCAAATATTTTATCTGAAATCTAAGATGTGAATTTTATAATAAATATGGACATGTGGCAATCGAAAATCTTATATGAATATTTTATCCGAAATCTGAGAAATGATTTTATAATAAATAGGGAGCTTCACTAATATACCCAAAATAGGGGTTGAAATTATAAATAAAAAAAACCCCACATGGAATGCACTTTAGAAACACACCCAAAACTCATTTACTACATAAGAAATTGGTGTTGAAGTTCTTATAAATTACGTGACTACCATTGATCAGCTTGAAAGAAGCCCAACACAAAAAACTTAAATAGCACCCAAAACAAGCCCAGCCCAATTTTATAAAAAAATCCAAACAATTCATTACAAACAAAATGTCTTGAAAACCGTAGCTTCATTAACGTGTCATGTTATTAATGACTATAATGTTCCACACCTTTACTTTCATATTGATTAATGGCTGTAATGTTCCAGTCTAGGGTAATAACACTGCTAGTTTACTATCATGTTGATTAATGGTTGTAATGTTCCAGTCTAGGGTAATAACATTGCTAGTTTCCTATGACATCCAATTTTTAATGCATGTCTACCCAAGTAATGTTCCAGTCTAGGGTAATAACACTACTAGTTTCCTATGACATCCTATTTCTAATGCATGTCTACCCCTGTAATGTTCCAGTCTAGGGTAATAACACTACTAGTTTCCTATGACATCCTATTTCTAATGCATGTCTACCCCTGTAATATTCCAGTCTAAGGTAATAAAATTGCTAATTTCTTATGACATCCTATTTCTAATGCATGTCTACCATTGTAATGTTCCAA